CTCCCCATGTGAGAAGGGTGCTCCTGCAGTCTATTCTCAAAGGAACTTGTACCTTTACACCTTTGAGCCTGTGGTGGGTGTGGTCTTGATAATTCCTGAGAAGGCCCTGAAGGTATCTTTCCTATTGCCTCTGTGCATCACTTAGCATCATTTTAGAGGTTATAATCTCTTCAAAACTACACTTTCCTTGTCTCCAGTTTTACACACTTTTCCAGCCAAACTGCAAGTTTTCAAAGTCCTGTTCTACTTTTTTCTTCTGATTCTCACAGTAAACATGGCTAAAAACCAGTGGCAATACCCATGCCACCACCTGAATGCTGTGCTTCCTTGAAATTTCTTCCACCAGGTTAATCAGTCCATCATCTTTACATATGGAGTCATGTGAAGTCTCAGTACATGGGCAAAATGTAGACGAGTTCTTTGCCAAAACAGAATCCCTGTTTCCCTCTAAAACCTCATAAGCACAGCCTTTACAGTCTGCATTCTTATCAGCATTCAGGTCTTCTCAGTTCTCACCAGAATCCACCCATTAAGCCCCAATCACAACATTCCAGGGCTTCTCCAGCTGGCATCTTCAAACTTTCAAAACTCCTCCCACAACCAGGTCCAAAGGCTTCTGAACCATATGAACAGGCTAGTCACAGCCACAACCCCACTTTTCAGTACCAATAACTCTATTAGTCAGTTTTACATTACTATGACCAAAATACCCAACAAGACCAACTTAGAGGAAGAAAAGTTTATTTGGGGTTCACAGTTTCAGAGGTTAGGTTCACTACACGGTTACCTGACTCCATCACTTTGATCTCAAGGTAAGGCAGAACAACATGATAAAAGGATTATTGCATGGAAGGCACCTCATCTCATGGAGGAAGCAGAGATGGAAAGAGTGGGAAAGGGGCCAAAGACTGATGAACTCTTAGAGGATTTTTACCCTCATGACCCACTTCCACCAGTCATGCCCATCTGCCTATTGCTACCACTCATCCCATTCCAATTAGGATGGATTGATTAGATTATGGCTCTCACAAATCTAATCATGAGCCTTTTGGGGGTTGTGGGGGGTGGCACCAGAGGATAACACCTCATATCCAAACCATTACAAAGAGTAAAATTAATTGAAACAGAAAAGAGGTTTCAGTTCCACCAGACAATAAAACATGTTAACAAACTACATTAATTTTAAAATGTAGCACTGATAAAGGAATGATCACTTTGCCAAACTGAAAACACTTTTTACGAAAACAAATCCCACTTTCAGATCTAAATGAAAAAAGGCCATGCCATAAGATAGAACATGATACAAATCAGTATTTGTATATTTTAGCTGTAGAAGACTTTCCTTTGGAAAACACAAAACTAATAGGACACGTAACAAATCCAACTTCAAAAAACTTAAAGTTTCTTCATGTAAGAAGACATTACAAATCTGAAGTCTAAGACTGATGGGTCACAGGTTAATGCTAGGCTGCATTTTATTTGCTCTACAAGGTTTTTGTTGTTGATTGCTTTTTTTTTTTTTTTTAATAAAACTAATTGCCAACATATAAAACCTGGGATATTTGGATATCTAGCAATACCATTTCCTCACTTCCACTTGGAAATAACCAGATGTGGCTGAGAGTAGAGCCCACTTTTCTGGGGAGAGTAGTTCTCGGGATCATCAAAACTCCCACCCATCATTCTATTCATTCACTTCACCTCCCTGACCACTTTGGAACTTCATTTTTGAATCATATAAAACAAAAAATAAAAGCATGGAGAAATATTCTCAATATGATCTAATATACAAGAAAAATATGTATATATAATTTCTAAAATGAATATGAAAAAGGTAAGCGAATTTTTAAAACACAACAATGATTATTTATTTACAAAATAAGTACAAATATCCAATAAACATATGAAAAAGAAAGTCTTCTAATCAGGGGAAATCACACCAGTATTTTTGTCTATTAGAATGGGAGGAAAAGATGATAATATCTCATCTTGGCAAGAGTCTATGGAACTGTCATGTTCAAATGCTATTGATTGGAAAGGACACTAGAACATTTTTTGATAGGCAATTTGTCAAGAGCTACCAAAATTTAAAATGTTCATGCACTTTATTTTACCCCACCTACCCAGGGATTTCAAGATTTTGACATATGGAATTAACTCACATGCATCTACTAAGATACATATATACTAAGAAGTTCAATTCAGCATTGCTTATCATGGCAAATGGAAGTGACCTAAATGTTTATGAATAAAGGAAAGGCTAATTACACTAAGGTATACCCACAGGCTGGAATGCTACACAAGACAGTGGTAAATCTGCATTTGTTGACACAGAAAAAACTCAGATACAGTGTACTATTAAGTGGAAATATTAAATAATTAGCATAAACAAATAATTTTAGAGGAAAAATAAATACGTGTAAAGTGATATTCATCCTGATGATAAATATACTATATAGTTATACATTAACTACTAAGTGAGTAATGGGGTGGGTAGCATATACAGCATGGATACACTCAACAAACGAATTATTCATATCCTAGGCATATTCAGGAATATACATACATGTTTTCCCTATTGTTAATTATTATCAATATATAAGTAAATACATGTTTACAAACTTATAGTACATAAATTTAATATACATCTACAGATACTTATATTTTTTCATTCTAAACTTTTTCAAGTCATTTGTAGTTTTGGGGGTTTTGGTACTGGTGATTGAACCTATAGGCATTTTACCATTGGGCCACATCCTCAGTCCTTTCTATTTTTTGAGACCAAGTCTCACTAAATTGATCAGGGTCTCACTTAGTTGTTGAGGCTGGCCTTGAACTTGCAATCCTCCTGCCTCCACCTCTTGTCACTCATTTGTAGTTTTTCTAAGAAGCATGTCCTTGTATATTACTTAATATTTTTCTTCCAAGTAAACAGAAAGAGCATTCTTAAAAAAAAAAAAAAAAAAAAAAAAAGACTGCCAAGGATTTATAAAGAAAAAAAAAGTCTGAGGTGTAGTGTTAGTGCTACAGTGCTAAGGATGGTATATTGAGTATAACTTGATATACCTAGAGACATATAAAAAAGGTAATAGAGAACTTGAGCCTTCCATCCCTACTGAGCATCGCCTATAGCTATCAAATATTCCTTTGTTGCTTCAATTAAGGCTCTTAAAACTGAGGTAGGATGTGTAGCTCACATCCTACTGCACAAATACATAAATAAAGGTGGGTGTGGTGGCACCTTACTGTAATCCCAGCTACTCAGGAGGCTCTCAAATTTGAGGACGGCCTGGGCAATATAGTAAGAACCCATGTTGAAAATAAATAAAGCTCTTAAAATCTCTTTAAAAATAACATATTTAAAACCAAATTGTAAACATGAAATCTCAATGACGTAAACAATGCATTAAGAAGAGGCTGGACTAAAATGTGCCAAGCTGGAGATACTTCCTCTAGGAGGAAGGAGTAGGAGTGATAGTCTCTCTACTCCTTCATTTTTTCAGTTTTCTATAACCACACAGTATGTTTATAATCAGGAAAAAAAAACAAAAAAGCACACTTTCCCAAATGAATTTATATTATGGTAGAAATAAAGCCAGTGCTCCCCCAAATAATCTCTGACATAGGGGGATCCTCGAGTGGAGTATATATGTATAATGGATGTCCCATTACTGTTCAAACTTTCTTTGTCTGGCTATGAGTTCCCCAATTCTTTGCTCTACATGTCAGGCAGGGACCAGGGTGGTGCTTGAGATGACAACAGGTAGCCTGGAAGAAAGGTATTCATTTCTTTCCTGGATCACATTGATTCTTCTTCCCACTTCTGAATAATGGATTGAGGCATCTTGGGCCCTACCATCTTATTTCCTACCCCTTCCTTCCTTTAGTTGTCCTCTGCTCTTATTTTTATCTTTCTTTCCTGGCTCCTCTCCCTACCTCCCCTCCCACCACCACCCCCAAGTTTCTCCTTTTTGAGTCTTTTCTTCAAGTCTCCCAAGAACTGGTAGGAGGGATCTGCAGAATGGGAAAGGAGATGGCTGCGTTGGATGGAAATACATTTGGCACCCTATATCTGCAGGTTTCGCATCAACTCAACTCAACCAACTGTGGGTGGAAAATGTATGGGGGTACTTCATCTCTACTGAACACGCACAGACTATCTTGTCATTATTCCCTAAACAATATGGTATAACAACTATTTACACAGCACTTACACTGTGTTAGGTATTATAAGTATTGGAGAAATGATTTAAAGTATACAGGAGAATGTGCACAGATTATATGTGAGTACTGTGGCCATTTAATCTAAGGGACCTAAGTATCCACACATTTTGGTATCTGAGGGAGTGCTGGAATCAATCTCCTATAGATACCAGATACTAAGTGGACTGTGATCCATTTCTGTAGTTGACCACTGCCAGGCTCAAGTTTTGGGTCAATGATGATGGCTGTCTGGGAAGAAAGGAAGGAAGAAGTAAAAGAAAGGAAAACTAAGAGAGGCAATCCTATATAGTACATATTTATAACTCCCTAAAAAGGATCTTCTGGTCCCAAATTGTCTTCCCAGTATGGAAGGCTTCAAAGTCATGGATAACAAAAATCTCCCAAAGTCAGTGTTTTAAATCACTGTCCAGTGTGTCATTATAATCAGGATCAGATGCTAAAAAACAAAAGTTAAGAAAAATGAAAGACCAGTTTTCTTTTAAAGTATCCTGGGAAACCACATCACCTTTCCACTAGGAGAGAAGCAAAAAAAGCAGTTTTAACTAAAGGCACAATACCTGAGAGAAAATCACTCAGCTAGTTGACCTCACTGAAGCCTCTTCTTCCTTGCAAGTTCTCAGTTCACTGGAACTGTGCCAGAGTCAAGGCCAGCAACACTCCTGAAGATGTCATTCCCACCTCAAAGCACCCTCTGTGACGGCCCAGTAAACACTGGGGAATGAACGAACAAACAAGTGAACGAAGAGAAAGAAGCAGACTCTGCTGGGGGCTCTTACCTCTTCTGGTTCATGGAGGCCACCTGGAGCCACTCGTTGGTGCTGGGGTTGTAGGAATGTGCAGCGGAGATCTCCTGGCTAGTGATTCTGTACCCGCCCACTATGAAGAGGTAGTTGTCCAGGATGGCTGACCCATAACCCCTGACATTCACCAGATCGGGAGGAAGGTTATTGGCCAGCGGGAACCAACGCTCAGTCATCTCCTCATACCTGAGCATGGACGGGGGCTCTCCCTGGTAGGGATGAGGGGCCAGGGGTCCTCCCAGGAAGTCCCCCAGGGCTACAAGGACAGGAGTCCCAGTCATCCGGGCCTCCCTCAGCCTCTGCTTCAGGCTGATGTCCCCCGGAGCTTGGGGAGGAGACACCAGGAGGTGGAACTGGGGCTTGCACAGCACCTCGTGGAAGTGGACGACCATGAAGCGCAGGCAGGCCTCCTGCAGGTCTGGAAGCCCGTACACCTGCGCCAGGCGGTACATTTCCAGGCAGTTGTTGAGCCGCACTTGGGACAGCAGCAGCTGCAGTAGGGACGTGACCTGCAGGAAGGAGGCTGCTTCCACCAGCTCAGACAGCAGGCTCACCTCGTCCATGTCCTCTTCCTCCTCCAGCCCTCCGCCCTTCTCCCCCCGCGGGCCCAGGAGCCAGCCTTCGCGGGCCCCGCCGGCATTGATGAAGTCCAGCACCAGCCGCAGGCCCGGCGCGCTGAGGCCGCGCAGCTGCTGCACCTCTGGGCCGCCAGCTTCCTGGCTCAGGGCCTCCCGCATGCCGGAGCGGTAGAGGGCGCGGAAGTAATCGCTCTGCTCGATGAGCTTCCTCTTGCTCACCGGGTAGCAGCGGTCCTCCAGGCGGATCTGCACCATCTCCTCCGCCGACATGGCTGGGGCCCCGGGGGTCTGGGGGCTCCCCGCCAGCTCTGCGCGCTCGTCTCCCCGCCCCCACGCGCTCGCCTGGTTCCGGGTAGGGCGCGCCGAGGGATGGCGGCCCGGCAGGAGCAGGAGGCAAAGGGCCGCCCGCTCCCGCGCTCGGCCGGCCTCTCGGACAGTCCCTCCTCTTGGTGTCCGTCTCCCTCAAAGCAACGGCCCTGCCCTCCAGTTCTCTCTCAGCACCAAAAAAGGCCCGGCTGCCCCGCACCGGGCGTCCTAGCTCGGGTTCTCCCGGGCCGCGTCAAGCGGGAAGGGAATCCCAACCCCCAGCCTGCAGCCTCCTCCCACGCCGCCCTTCTCACTTCCGCCGGCGGGACCCCTGCAGCCGGCGAGAACTGCCGGCTGGATCCGGCTTTCGGGCAGAGCGGGCGAGCTGCAGGCCTCGGACGCCGGGGCTGCCGACGCGCAGGCGGCAGAGGCAGGAGGGCGCGCGTCCCCGCAGCTTCCCCGCCCGCCTGGGCGCACTGGCTCTGCCTCCTGCCGGGGGCTGCGGAGATGCTAGCGGGGTGCGGGTGGGGCAGGGAGCACGTAGTAAGGCAGACTGTGTTTCTGTTCCGTGCTGCTTTACAAGAGCGAAAGAAAAAGGAAGGAACGTGGAAGGAAAGGGATGGAGAGAATCTCGGATCCAGAGAATGAAAACGACATCAAATCGGGGTCACCGCCCATTTGGCCCAATCGGCATCATGGGCTGAGAGGCACTTAAATCGTCACTGGACCTTGGCACCTAGGTCTGTGTTTGTCGTGTAGAAGCCATCTTGCAGAAGGCCCAGGAAGATTGGCCCCAAGTTCTGCAGGGTTCAGCTCCTGAGGTGCCCAGTGCACGGGTCCAACAGGGTGGGGAGTAGGGGGCAGTGCATTTGCCCTTGGGGCTCCTTGTCTTCTCTATGTTATTAAAAGAAAGATGGAAGTACAACTTAGCTAAATAAAGTTAGGTCGCGTGCCTTTTTTCTTCTAAAATCTTGGTAACAGGTTCCTGCTTCAGGTTGCTTGGGCTAACCAATACGGAATGTTACCTTTGGGCAGAGGTCTGGCCGCTTATGCTCACGTCTGCCTACAGGGGTGACTTTTTCTTGCCACCCACTTCCCCTACATACCCATACCCCATCCACTGAAGACTGTTAGGGAAGACCAATTATTCCCCATCTTCCAGTACATGGGAGTAAGAAGGCTTACTCCAAATAATAAGGACCTTCTTGTGTTGCTTATGAGACATAAATGAATCCTAGAAGAGGGTAGAGAAAACTATTGTTAGATTGGGGTGTTATCTACAAACGAGAAGAGACCATTATTTTGGATTGAGCTTCTGCTCTAGGCCCCAACAGACCAGGCAAAAAATCAAAATGGAGTCAGAGTGAAGTTCTGTGTCAAGTTGAAACTAAGCTGTTTTTCTGACCTTCCAAGAAATCAGGATTAGAGTGATAACATCCAAATTTCCAAACAAGCCAGTTCCAGTTGACAGAATTCTTACACAAAATAGGTAACCTGAAATAGCCTGATGTTAACTAGTCAGCATTATTTTTTCCTGGTATTCTGCTTTACGGAGTAACTTTGAAGTGACTGATCTGCTTTGGTTTTTGCTTCTGCTTTCTTCAGGCCCTTCTGTCTATAAAACCAGCTTCCTTTGCTCCCACCATGGGAACACTTATTCTAATTTATAGTATGAAATGTTGCTGGATTCTAGAATTGAAAATCAAGCCTATTAAGATCTTTATATTGTTGTACTGTTCTTTGAACATATGTTAAATAAAATTTTCAGGAGACCTTTGGTTTGGATTGAGCTCCTGCACTAGTTCAAACCAAAATGCACAAACTCATGCTGAAGTTCCACCTCACCAAGTCCAAACTAAGTTCCTTAGCTGATCTCAGTAGAGTTCTCCATCTCAGGAGAGAGAAGAGACCAATCTCCAAAGAAGCCAACTGTAGCTGACATAATGAGGAAGTACCCCTGCTTTCACCTTTACAAGAAAAGTAACTGAGTTACCTATCTATTTTGTGTTCTCTGATTCTGCTTTCCTTGGTCCTTTTCTGACCATGAAACAAACCTCCTTTGCTTGGCTAATACAGAACACTCATTGTATTTTATTGATCAGGGTGTTGCCTTGTTCTAGAATTGAAAATAAAATCCAGTTAATATATTTAAATTTGTTGTATTTTTTTTTTTTTTTGGTCTTTAGACAAAATACAGAAGGAGGGGTAAAGATTATAAGAGAGAAATTTGTGTTCACATATTTATCTTATGAAAAAAAGTCTTCAAAACCTCCCCAGACCAAGATTTCAGAACCAAATGTCCTCAACTTAGAATATGTATTTGGATTTTTTTTTCAGGGTACTGGGGCTTGAAGCCAGGGGTGCTACCTCTGAGCTACATCCCCAACCCTTTTTTACTTTATTTATTTATTTATTTATTTATTTATTTTTGGTACCAGGGATTAAACTCTGGGGCATTCGACCACTGAGCCACATCCCCAGCCCTGTTTTGTATTTTATTTAAGACAGGGTCTCACTGAGTTTCTTAGTGCCTTGCTTTTGCTGAGGCTGGCTTTGCACTCTCAATCCTCCTGCCTCAGCCTCCGGAGCTGCTGAGATTATAGGCATGTGCCACCACGTCCAGCTACTTTTTTATTTTGAGTCAGGGTCTGGCTAAGTTGCTGAGACTGGTCTCAACTTTAGATCCTCTTACCTCAGTCTCCTGAATCTCTGGGATTACAGGTGTGTGCCACTGCACCCAGCAGTATTTTTTTAAAAATTAATTCTGTATGTGTGTGTGTGGGGGGGAGTGCTGGGGTTCAAACCCTGGTCCTCAGGCAGCATTCATTTTACTGCTGAGCTACATCCCCAGCCCACATTTATTTGTCAAACTATAAACTTCAGCTTTCTTTTAGAGTAACAAGTTGTTAAATAACATCTTCTTCATAGATAAAATAACCCTACTTCAAACTGAAGATGCATCCTACTATGCCAATAAGCATTTTATGTGGGGAAGGGGAAGAAGGGTTAAAAACCAGAGAGAAAAAAAAGTCATCCTGGTAAAACATGAAATTCTTTCAATATACTACCTCTGTGCTTCTGAATGTGTAATTTAGCTGCTTCATGGCAAGGTGTTATCATCGTTTATTTTTTGTATACCAGGAATAAGGGACTGGAAAAATTCTAGTAGATTCTGGCTTCCTTGGTAAAAACAGAAGAACCAAATATGGATCTAGGACTTGTTTTGTTAGGTTTCTTTCTCGGGTCTATTGAACACTTCCCCTTGTTTCACCTGGCCTGGAAATCATTACTGATAAAACTCCATTGTCACACTGGCCTCACACTTCCATTCTCAGTGAGATAGCAGTGAGACATCCTCGGGTATGGTGGGGTTTTGCGGTGAGCGCCAGGTAAGTGACCAAGGATTTAGCAGAGTCTTTGGGAAGGTAAAGTGCAACATCCACTATTCAGCATTAGGTGGGGGTCTTTGGCTGGGAGACCCTGTATCAAAGGGACTTGGACTTGGGATGGATTTGTGCCTCATTCAAAGACAATGCAGGATGCAGTGAGTCAGCCCCAAGAATGAGCTCTTAGACTCTCCTCTGACTCTTTAGAATCTTTCACGAATAGATGCTTTTGTTTCCCAGCTGTCATAGATATGCCTCAGACTGGTATTTTCTTGCCTTTTTAAGCAGACTGAAAAATCACACTCAATGAATGATGCGCATTCAAGCACAGTAATATTATCAGGGCTAGATCAGGTTGGACAGGGAATCTGGGGTGTTAGTCTGACAACACTGGACACTGATCCTGCAAGCCTTTTCGTCCCCAACATGACAATAACATCATTTAGGACTGGAAGCATCTTAAAAGATCAATCATTTCAACAAACCACATAATACGTTTTCTGCTAATCTAGAATTGTGAAACCTTTATTTTAAAAAGACCTAAAATATCATTTCTAAACTTTATAAAATATTTTTATATAACTAGAGGTATAATTATATAGGTCAGTTATTGACTGATCATTGAACAATAAAGACTGGCCTTTGTTGAAACTATAATTCATTTCAAATACTTTTCATCACTGTGTTTTATAAAAGACCAAAGTAATGATCAAACACAGGCAGTTTATTTAAGAATTTGAGGAGAATATGCCTTTTAATTTAGTCATAGTATTGCTTTTAGTAATAGAAAATTGGAAACCAACACAATGTATAATAATAATAGTAACTAAGATTTACTGAGTGTTTATTATGTGCCAGGCACTGTTGTTAAGTGATCTTTGTGGATTACAATACCATTTGGAGGATATTTTATAGCTGAGAAAGCTGTGGTGCAGAGTAACTTTTGGTGTGGATAAAGAATGAGGGGCTGGGATATGGCTCAGTGGTAGAGTGCTTGCCTAGCGTGTTGAAGATTCTGGGTTTGATTCCCAGCACTACAAAAATAAAATAAAATAAAAAACAAAAATAACAAAAAAGGTAAAGTGGTAGCACATGATTGTAATCCTAGTTGCTTGTGAGGCCAAGGCAGGAGGACTCCAAGTTTGAGGTCAGCTTGGGCAACTTAGTGAGACCCTGTCTGAAAATAAAAATTGAAACATCTGGGGATATAGCACAGAATTAGAACATCCTTGGGTTCAATCTCCAGCACAAGAAAAAACAAAAGGAAAGAACGAAAAGAAATGTCATATAACCATTATAACTTCAACGTAGATCATTCTTTAAAGGCACTAAAAAACATAATTTTACAATAGATTTTTTTTTTAAAAAAATTAGTAGTTGATAGACCTTTATTTTATTTATTTGTATGTGGTGCTAAGAATCGAACCCAGTGCCTCACACATGCCAGGCACGTGTGCTACCACTAAGCCCCAGCCTGAGCCTACTACATTATATGTTCTGTAGGCCAGGCATGGTGGCACACACCTTTAATCCCAGTGACTCAGGAGGCTAAGGTAGTAGGTTCTCAAGTTTGAGGCTAGCTAGGCAACTTAGTGAGAAACTATCTCAAATTTAAAAAATAAAGGTGATAAGAATGTGGCTCAGTGGTAGAACACTAGCCTAGTATGTGAGTCTCTGGGCTCAATTCCCAGTACCATTAAAAAAAATCTGCAATTTAATTTATATAAAATTATTTTATGTAAAACTACACATATATGTATATTATGTATTTATATACATATATGATTTTAATAGATATGTCCAGAAAGATGTTTATCAAGATGTTAAGATAACAAGATATTTAAAGGTTTTTATTTCTTTTCACATGTTTCTATATGGCTTGAATTCTTAAAGTGACTATGCATCAATTTAGTAAAAGCCAAAACAATTAAAGAAAAATTAATGACATATTTTTATTTCTCAGGATTCATCTTTAAATACTTTTTTTTTTTTTTGGTGGTGCTGGGGATTGAACCCAGGGCCTTGTACATGCTAGGCCAGCACTCAAACAACTGAACTATATCCCCAACCCCTTAAATACAATTTAATGAAATAAAAATGTTAAATAAATAACATAATTCAAAACTTTAAGGGTGAAATATTTACTGTTTTTCAAATGTCTTTTGAATATAGCAAATACATGCTTTTTACTTCACTACTAAAAAATCAATCAGGGATTGAATTCAAGGGTGCTTTAACCCTTGAATATAGCAAATACATGCTTTTTACTTCACTACTAAAAAATCAATCAGGGATTGAATTCAAGGGTGCTTTAACCACTGAGCCACATCTCCAGTCCTTTTTATTTTTATTTTGAGGCAGGGTCTGGCTAAGTTTCTGAGGCTGGCTTCAAACATGTAATCCTCCTACCTCAGCCTCTGAGCTGCTAGGATTACAGACCTGTGTCACTGTACCCCCCTCATCTCTGTTTTTTGTTGGTGTTTTTGTTTTTAGTGTTTTTTTTTTTTTGTCCCTCCAGTGTTCCTAGAATAATTTTCTTTCTTTTTTTTTTTTTTTAAACAGGCAAAATGGAAATGTCCTTCTTTCATGGAAACATGGGGTGATTTAGATAAGATGAAGGAAGTACATGTTCTTAAAATGACTCTACTTAATTCAAAGTGAGCATCCTCCTATAAACTTCCATTTATTTCAGTCATCTAGATCAGTGTTTTCTAAACATCATAGGAAATCAACTGGGGCACTTCTAAAAACAAAAATCCTGGTCCCCATACCAGAGCAACTGAATCATTCTGTTGGCAGAAATTAAGTGCTTTTTGAGATATGAATCTAATTTCCCAGCCCCTCTCAAGAGCATCCGATTGGAAATAATTATAATGTATCACCGCATTGTAATAGTGTAATTGTTCTGGACAATTGATAAGATTTGTAATAAAAGCTATATACCAATTTGATTCAAAGTTGCAGTTGCTCCCTAGTTTCTGCAATTTTGTCCCACATAAACAAGTTTTGAGAGTATTGTGGACTGTCCCCCCATCCTAGTCTCTGCAGTCCAGTTTCTATCTTTCCTTTTCAGAATACTTAGCCTGAAGAAGTTACTCACTCCCAGACTTAATATTTATGCAAACACACACACACACACACACACACACAATGTGTTTTTAAAAATAAAAATCTTGTTTTGGCATTGGAACTTGTAAATCCTTTAATATGAAACTTTGATCTTCGTTCAAAAGTCATTTGCCAGCTTTAACAATTGTGGATTGTTCCATTAGCCCTGCAGGGAACAAGAGAACTTTAAGGAATTATATATCAAACACAAAAGACTGAATTTAATGTAACTAAAAGATTTGGAGGTCACAAAGTTAGAAAGTAGAGTTTCCAGTTATGTCCTGAGGCAGTTCTTAATAGAAATAACTATGGAATTTCATGAAAAACAGAGAGTGATTTTTTTTGTTACTCATTTGTCCCTTGCTTTGCCATTAGAAAATCTATTTTCCCTCTCCCCTCAGAACAGGTGGAACAATCTGTTAGCAGGTAAGCAACTGAAACTTTCTTTCTGTAAGAAGTTATTAGAATAAGATAGTTATTTTTAGTGTATTTCATGTGGCTTATGCAAAGTTAGGAGTTAATATGTGATATCATTTTTCCTCCAAATCAAGTCAAATGATTTTTAAAGTTATTCAGTCTTAAATGTTTTCTTCTTCATTTTCCCCATTAATATATGTTTCTAAAAAGTTAAAGTTATAAGTAGGCTATCTATAATTAGAAAACACATGGAGAGATGAAAATTTGAATAATGTTAACATTTTGGGGTCAAGTAGGTTAATGAGGTAAATAAGTTATTGAGCAAAAAGGTCTGACAGAAACACAGATCAAAGATCAGGAAGATTAGTTTCACCTTTTCCTTTTTAAAGTAGCAGTACTTCATGCCAGAAGCACTGCTTTATATAAAAATGGAAAGAAGAAAGCAGCAATTTCTTGATTTAAACTAATTTGTTAGCTTGGACATGATTAGTTATCATGATTGAGATAAAGAATCCACAACTATCATATAACCAGGAAGCCATTGTTCACTGCAGTCTCAAATGTTTGGACACTGCAGTTGAAGTATTTCTGTTACTATTTAGATATTTAAAACCATTGAAATGTGTATTCTACAGCAACTACTTTGTTTCAGAGATGCTATGCCTTTCTGTGTGTACTTCATAAAGCTGTCATCCATTTAATAATTTGCAAATGTGAACATCAGAAAACAAAAAAGAGAACAGTGATTCTCTTCTTAAACCTCTTCACAATTTTTACCATAAATTACAATTATTCTTGGTTGGATACTATACACTTCAAAGGGTGTTGTATTCCATGTACATTATGAACACTTTCTAATGGCTGAATCTTTAGAAGAAATCTTATTGTCCTTTTTTTTTTTTTAATGGAGAGCATTTTTTTTTAACCTTTATTTCACTTATTTATTTTTTTGTGGTGCTGAGGATCGAACCCAGGGTCTTGCACGTGAGGCGAGCGCTCTACTCTGAGCCACAACCCCAACCCCTTATGACTACTTTACAAAAAAATTACTTATCTCAAAGAGGGTCCAGGATCTATGTTCAATGGTCTTAAAATTATTCCAAAATAAAAATTTTATTTTAATATTTTATTTACTTTCAAGGATTTTTAGGTAAAAAACAAACAAAACAACTTAGACAATGTACAAACTGTTTTTCTAGTGGACACCAGATTTAAATTCAAAGAAATAAATAGCTGATAAAAAAAATCCAAGGTCACAAGTTCCTTAAAAGCCATAAAGAAGACCTCACAAAATAATGTCTTATTTCCGGTGAAACAGATCTTTCCTTTATCTGATTTTGAGCTACTGAATTATTGTTTTCCTCAGAAAGACTTGACTAGGATTTCCACTTGTCTTTATATTTATTTAGTAAAAGGTGTCTGTGGCTCTTTGCTTTCAGAGAATGAAGAAAAGCAGAGGAGAGAACCTACGTCTTCAAGTGGCAAAGGGACAGAAGATTGGAATAGCCTGAAAAGAGTTTGGAAAGAACTCCCATAAATCCCAAGTTCACCTGGGGCTCAGGTGGGAAGAAACAAAAGAAAAACCAATGTGCAAAGGACAGCCTCCTTTTTCTACAAAATGACTCTCCAGAAAGGTCCCAAGGATGCTTACCCTTACTCAGAGCCCAGAAGATTTAGAGCTTAAACCCTAATGGTCAGTTTTTTCTGTCCGGAAATCAGACTTTCTCCGAGTCTCTCTTCACAGCAAAGAAATGCATGTGGCAGTGGTAGCAGCCGAGGTGATACTGCTCCTAAGCATGGGATGGACATCAGACTCTCTCTGCTCACCCACTGTTTTTTACAGAGACTGCTGGATCCGCCGCTTCCCAGGTCTTCAAATTGTTTTGGAAGAGTCTCAGAAGCTGGGAGCCCAGTTCTTGAAATATTATTCTGAGAGCACTGGCCAGAAGTGCAGTAGGAGCTGCTGTCTTAGGAAAGATGGTGAGTATTAATAAAACACTTGAGCAAAATAGGAGGGAATGCCCAAGAATGAAGACCTAAGTCAGGAGTCTTAGGCAAAAGGCCAGTGAAGAGGTAAAAAGGACCAGAGAAGATTCTGCGGGATGAGAGATGGGGGAGACAGAGAACCTGAGAGCAAGCTAGCAGAAAGAAAGAGAGCTACCAGACTGGCTTTGCAGGATGAGCCAGAGCAGGCTCAATTTACAAATCTAGTAAGGTCCCAGAATGCTATAGAATATAAAAGAAACAAAATCCTCTTTTCTTCAAAAAAGTGCTAAGTGAAAATATTTCCACCAGGATTAGTATTTTTATAGCCCAAAATGTAACATATATGATTTCAAAAATGTTCACATTAATTTCCTTTTCAAAATGCCTTTTGGTGATAGTAGTACCATAGCAGATTTCTGAAATGGGCTTGCTTGGATTGACAAATGTGGGATATATTGAATACAGAATTTAGATCATGTTTTGAAATATTTTGTTAAATATCAAATAATAACAATCATACTTTCCAAATTTTCTAATGGATTTTTTCTCTGTGATATGGAATCTGGGTGTAAACATCATGGCTATGATATGATTCAGGCTTTCAATCAGGAAAGCATTTCATTGTTGCAGAATTTTAAGTTGCAATTGCCTAAAGATTTCTTTCATTTATTTTTCATTTCCTCCATGATTTAAAACCTACTTGGAAAGAAACAACAAAAGCAACACAGTACTAAAATAATTCCCTTCATTGTTTCACTTTTTTTTTTTTTTCTTTTTCTTTTTCAGTACTGGGGATGTAGCGTAGGGCTTCTTGCAAACTAGACACACACTACACTGAGCTGCGTACCTTTCATTTCACACTTTTTTTTTTTTTAACCATGATTCGGTACCCTCACCAATCCCACTGACCCAATTATGCCTGTAAGATGTCTGAAATGAAACTTGGAGCTAATTGGAGAGTATTATCAGATCATCAAGGAACAGCAATGTGAGCAAATGTCACAGGCCAAGTCCTCAAAAGCTGATCAGGCACAGCCAGCTTGGCAGCACATGCCTATAAGCCCAATAACCTGGGAAGCTGAGACAGCTGGATCAAAAGTTCAAGTCCAGCTTGGGCAATTTAATGAGATCCTGTCTCAAAACTAAAAATTCAAACAAAGATGTTGCTCCATGGTAGAATACCCCTGGGTCAATCCCCTGAAGCACAAAGAAAAAGGAAAAATGTTAATAAGGCACAAAGAAAGCAATTAATTTAATAAAGGGGAGTTCTTTTAAAAATGACAGTTGATCCAAATTTCTACCTTCCAGATGCTTCTAACTCTCATAAGCCACCACTGAGGGGAAGTGGGGGACGGGAGGGGCTGTACATTTTCTGAAATTTCCCAAGGCATGAATGCCCAAGGCCTGTGGCCCCTGTATTATCAGGGCTATTGTAGATCTAGGACAATTCCACAATCCTAGAGCCTCTGTAGCTTCCACATTGTGGCTTTCTTCCTTCAGAACAGGAAAGGGCAGGAAGGCATATCCCAGATTTTAGCTAGAAGCCACAACTGCCACAATCATGCTCAGAAATGGGACTCTGAAATGTACACCTGGAGTATTAAAAAAAATCTTTAAAAACTGTTCTCTACAGCATAAACTACTTTCTTGTCAGAAATTTAAATGTCTTAAATTTGAATTTTTTAATACCTTTCCCTTAAAACTTTACCTCACAGTCCTTAGAGATTATACTTATAATCTGTAATGTATTAGCAATGTATTATTCATTAACTTTTGTCCTATTCTTTCTTCTTCTGGAAAAATAAAGGATGCAGAAAGCTGAGGGTGTCCCAGAAGTAATGGTGGAGATGCCGCTCCTTATAGTTAACCTTACACAGAAGTGATACAGCTTCTACCAGCAGCGATTCCACAGCTAAGACGTGCTCTGGGGTCTGGTAACCATAAACTGCCCCTCTCTAGTCTAATTTTATTAAATAATTTGATACCTCTTGGCCAACGAATTTTTCACATGGTTATGACTACACTGGAACAAAAGCAAAATCGGTTGCATTTTAGGGAAGATAGATAATCTGACTGAAGATTTGCATCCAACAAATCTGACTTCAGGTTTTCCAGAAAATAGCACATTTTTGAGGAACAAATTTGATTAGAAAAGGGGAAACAGCATGAGCAAATGATGTACTTCATCACTACAATCTGTGTGCCAATGCTGCTGCATATCCACAGCCTGCCACTCTAATTGACACTGATTAGGCTTTTCCTTGGATGTAATTTTTTTGCACACAGGGCTAGTGCACACCTGTAGTCAGGGTCACTTGGCCTGCTGCTTTTCCATCATTTGGCTTCTCCCAGTAATATCATTATTCTTTTGCCCTTCCTGTTACTCCCTCTTCTTAGGTTACAGAATTTTTTCCTTTATTTTCCTATTTCTCTCTCTGGTGGGCCTCAGCATCTTAGCATTCTATGAGGTCATTGCACCCAGAAACCAATATAAGTCCCCAGAGATTTTTGTAGCCAATTAAATTTTTCATGAATACAAAATACTGAGACTAGAAAATAATGATTCTAGACATCCAACTGGAATGGAATGTGTGAAAGATTACTTAGAGAAAATTAAGGGATGTTTTCCTTTCAAAAGGCATTTTTTTAATATTCATAAATGCCATTACAGTAATTCATAATGTTCTGTGAAATGTGTGAACATAAACTAGGTATGGTGGCACACACCTGTAAACCTAGGGATTCCGGAGGCTAAAGCAGGAGGATCACAAGTTCAAAGCCAAGCCTCAGCTCTACTATCATGTATAATGAATTAGAACAAATTAAAACATTTGTAAAAATATTCTACCACCTGTTTTTGTAAATAAAGTTCTCTCAGACCAGAACCCAAAAAAGAAAAAAGTCAGCCTCAGCAACTTAGTGAGGCCCTAAGCAACTTAGCAAGACTTCTAAAATAAAAAATAAAAAGAAATAAAAAGGGCTAGGGGTGTGGCTCAATGTTAAGTTCCCCTGAGTTCAATCTCTAGTACATTAAAAAAAAAAGTCTGAATATAGTTCTGCAATATAGTGTTAATCTAGTATTTCTGAAAGAAATGTAAGTTATTCAGAGATCATCAAACTGATGGAAATCAAGACCTTCTACAGATGTACTTTGTCTCTTTCCTTTTCAGTTTCCTGTAATTTGGCTGTCTTCTTCTATGATCCTATTCATGACAATGTCAACTGCCTACATATTCACTGCCCAACCTTGGAGAGCTGCATATTAGAGCCCGGGACCAGTGCCATTTTGTACAACATAACAGATGGTAATGATGATATATTTCAGAACTTTTGAAGAATGTTGGTAATACTCTAGTAGAAGCATATATCCTGGCAATAGCTCTGTGTTACGTCCCTAAATCATTATTTTCCAGTGAACTCTGCCTGGAAATGGTTTGGATATTCAGGGCAGAAAACTGGAAGGAAATTCCCTTTAGTTTGGCACATTCAACAGGGATGAATTCATTCCAGACAATCACAAGTCATATGCAATTGAACAAAAGCTAAAGCGTTGTATTTCAAGAACTTGCAACAAGAGCCAAATTAGGCATTTCTACTATAGTGGCAAAGGGTGATGCTAAGAAATAAAGAAAATAATAAATGGCAGCTTTGAGGTTTATAGACACTGAATACAAAAGGATTCTGAAGAAAATGTTTTGTCATCAAAATACAAAGGGGGTATTTGTATTCATTGAAAACGTAATGCTCCAGGCTGGGTTCAACATTGTAGAAAACTGTGGCCATATCTTTGCCTTCAAGTTCCTTATAATCTTGTTGATGTGACAAGTCTTCCAATTAGTGTAAAAGATATAACTAAGTACAAAAATATTTGATACTGCCTCATTACAAAGGCTCCAAGAAGGGCAGACTAATGAGAGCTATTTTATTCAGCAGGTGGTGGTGGGGAGTCCTTGGAAAAGGCCAGGAGGAAGCAAAATGAGTTCTGTATCACATCATAGGAAAGTAAGAAAACTGGAGTAGTTACTGTATGGTGACATTTGAAGTTGTAGTGAAAATATGGCTATCTAGAGAGGGTGGGGTCAGTTAGCCAAAGGGCTATGGACAGAGTAGTGTTTTGGAAGGGATTTTTCAGAAATAGGGAATTGATAAAGACATTTAATGAGGAAACAACATAATTAAAATGGTAAGTCTGATGACCTTAGTCTAGGAAAATTACATGCAGGGCACAAGGCAGAAAGTCTAGTCCCAAGTGTGAAGCTAGCCTTAGCAACTTAGCAAGATCCTGTCTCAAAATAAAAAATAAAAGGGACTGGTGATATATACCTCCCCAGTACTGGAGGGGGGAAAAAAAGAAAAAAAGAAGAGAAAGAAAATTTGGTCAGAGAGGCATAAGATCTGGGCAAGGTAATTATAGTTGCCATAGAAAGGAGGGATGATTACCAGAATATTGGAATTTCTTTGGAAACAGAGTGAACTGGACTTATCTTTTTGCCTTTCTTTCTTTTTCTTCACATTTTCTCCCTTCCTTTCTCTTTCTTGTACCTGGGATTAAATCCAGGGACACTTTCACTCTACCACTAAGCTATATCTCCAGCAATTTTTATTTTTTTATTGTGAGATATGGTCTCACTAAGTTGCCCAGGCCAGCCTCAAACTTGCTATCATAGGCATGTGACACTGTGTCTAGCCTTAGTTACCTTCTGAATGAAGGAAACGAAGGAGTCAGAAATCACTCCAGTGCAGACTCCAGTTTGGGGAATGGAAGAATAATAATGCCACTGACTGAGACAATGGAAGAATAATAATGCCACTGACTGAGACAAGGAGGCAGATGTAATGATGTCAGCTTTGGGCTTATTCAGTTAAGTCGACACAAGGTGTGCAGGTGGAAGACACTGGAGAGACAAGGCCAGAACTCAAGAAAGAGGAAAAAAATTGGTGATATAGATTCCAGTGTCATCAATGTTGTGGTGGCAGATGGGGACAATTTTCTTGTGTGTGGGGGGAGGGAGGGTGATAAAAAAGCAGTCAAGGGGTAGCAGAACTTAAGGCCAAGGACTGAGAATGTAGAAACTATACAGCCAGTTAGGAACAAGAAGAGAGCAAAACAGTAAAATTGAGAAGCAGGGAGCCTGGGGCAAATGTGAAGGGGTCTGGAGTCTAGCGAGAAGAATTTCAAGAGGATCCTCAGCATTATTGAGGACCAGAGAGCAGCCAAAGCAATGAGATGCAAGTAACCAAGAAATTATAAATGAAAGCCAGGCACAGTAGTGCACACATATAATCCCAGCTACTCAGGAGGGAGAGACAGGAGGACTGCAAGCTCAAGGCCAGCCTGGCCAACTTAGTGAGAAGGTTCTCATTAAGTTGTTCTCAAAACAAAAATATAAAAAGGGCTGAAGATAGAGCTCAGTGGTAATGTGCCCCTGGGTTCTATCTCTAGGACCAAAAAAACAAGAGAAACATTATTTTGACAGAATAGTGAGGAATGTTAAGAAGACTACAGAAGCAAAACAAAGAAGGAGATGGATGTTGGCATGATTTCAGAGAGAGAAACAGACAGACAGACAGACCCACCATGTAGTCTCTTAACAGAGACCATCAGAAAGCTATTGAGCTTTTTTCTTCCTCTCTAAAGAAGCAGAGGATTTGAGCATGCCGGAAGTCAGAGGAAAAGGAGTTAGTCTACAAAAGAGGAAATACTAAAAGCAGGACCCTCAAGGATTGGAAAGGGATGAGATTTGAGGCTTTACTCTTGATTTTGAATTATGATCCTATTTTATCAATTTATTTTAAAAATGTTCTATCATAGCTCACAGGGTTACTGTTTCTGCAGCTTTCTACTAACACTATTATTGTGCAAAACCTTCTTGGGTGTAGCTGAATTTGTCCATAGCAGAAAATGTCCTGGAAGTTAGGATAAATTCAAATGAAGCTAGTATACTGCTAAGCTTTTTAGGAGTTTGCAATGGTTGAACTTAGCTTAGTTCAATAATTCATCGTGGCAAAACCCAACAGTTTTCTCCAATTTGTGCTTAAGGTTTTCTCTTTGAATTAATGTATTTTATTTATCTTTCAGGTATGGATCCAGATTTGCTGGTTTTTGAGCAATCACCTCCCACATATCTAAACACCCGTTCTTCATCTGATAGGTGGGATAGACTAAGGATTCTAAAAGCTATGAATTTAGATAATAAACAACAAACTACCACGATAAACCGTGTGTTGCCATCAACAGAGGCTCCATCATCAGCCCCACATCAAGATTTGGTTGTAAACACAAACAGTACCGGTTATTCCAAGGAATTAACAACAGATCTTTGGGCAAGGTTCATTTCCCTGAATGACTCCATTACCACCAAGGTAAATATGGTGTCACCAAGCACTGACTTAATCAGTGATCCAGACAATCAGACTGTTTCTCCTTTCTTTGTGCCCATCGACACAAAGCTTTCTCTTATGCCTATTCCATCCCGACTCAACAGTAGCAAGCAATTACTAAATAAAACCAAGGGGTACAACAGCAGAAACCAGACATCTGAAAATGAAGAAGAGACACTTAATGGGGCACCTGTGACTTCAAAGACCTGGCTGGCTTCTGTGGCCTTATGCACCTCTGTCCTCTTTCTTTGCTGTTGTATGGTCATCCTGGCAACCAGATGCTGTCGAAAGCAACAGGGCCAGTATAAACCAGGACAGCAAAAGTCAGGATCCAAGCAAAGTAAAAAATATAATATGCTAAAAGACAACTCTTAAAAGATGTTGTGAGATTATAAGCTTTAAAGGTAATAACTTTCAGTTTTCTGTAAGACAAGGGAAGTTTGATTAAAAAATATAATTATACAGGATGGTCACTCCTATTTCTAAAAAGGAAAATGTTTAGTAAACATAACTGCTTTCTTGATTATTTTCAATTTTTGAGTAGTGGTCCCTCTGCCACAGTTCCAAAAGTCTGACTCCTAGAGTTGTTATTTAGTACCATGTAGGAGATAAAGTTCTCAGTGGTTTAGGGATATGAACTAACTGGATCCTTGAAACTCTGTTAGATGAACTATTATTAACTGTCATTGTTGCCCAATATTATGCTATTATTATACTATTACTATTGTATCTTACAGCTAAGGAAGCTTAGGTGAAGAGAGAGTGAGCATTTTGGCTAAAGTCACATAGCTAGTAAGTATCAGGTTCAGGACTTAGTTAAAACATAGGCAGTCTAATTCAAAAGCCCATGCTCAGAATCACCAATAGACTAAGAACCTATTTTTTCCAATTAACATGAAAAAAAGGACACCAAGAAGAAAATACCATCAGATTTATCTCAAAGTTGAAGTCAAATTACTGTCACATGTGGTAATAAAATCATTTAGTGGCTTAACCAAAACACACTATTATTGTTATTAATCCACAAGCAAATACTTCCTTCTTTTATGTTTAATTGATTGATCCTTCTCAATCCTAATCCTAATTTTATTTTCTAAAGCTGAGATATCTTTCAGTAAGTATGGTTCTGAGCTCCTTTATTCTGTTGAACAAAATTTGGGAGTTTTACTTTATATCCTTTGCTTGTATACATTGTTTTCCTAGGTATATGAGAGCACTTGCCTAGTATGTGCAAAGACCTGGGTTCAATCCTCACACACACACACACACACACACACACATTAAACAAAAGGACCAAAGAAAAACAACAAAACCGTTGTTTTTCCCAGGTGGAAATACTATTTCTAGGTATTTCAGCTCTGTCTAAATGTCAAACCAGATTTATCCCTACTTCTAAACACTAAATTTTTCAAATTTAGTTTATTTTTTGGTATCAGGGATTGAACCACTGAACCACACCCTCAGCCCTTTTTATGATTTATTTAGACACAGGTCTCACTGAGTTGCTCAGGGCCTAAGTTGCTGAGGCTGGCTTTGAACTGGTGATCCTCCTGCCTCAGCCTCCCAAGCCACTGGGATTACAGGTGTGTACCACACCACACCAAGCTACACTCAGATTCTTAAATATAGAATACTGTAATTCAAGTCTCTAATGATCTTAATCTTCAGGCCCTTCATCTTAATCCTGAAAGATAGTCAATAAGCATAAAGGATAAGAGAACATCCTATTACAAGATTAATAAAATGCTACTCTTTTCTCAGGTGTTAAAATAGACTGTCCAATGGCTTAAAAGATGTTTCTTTCTCCAGCATTGTTAATCAGTGAAAAAGAGAATGAATATTTCTTTTAATAAAAAAAAGTATACAAAATCTCTTGTCAGTGGAATATCAACTACAAATAATCTGATTTTTTTTTTTTGTGTGTGTGTGTGTGTGCGTGAGGCCTGGGGATTGAACCCAGGGCCTTGTGCATGCAAGGCAAGCACTCTACCAACTAAGCCACATCCTCAGCCCCAGAAATCTGATTTTTAAATGTAATCAATTTACCTGAACTTGCTAATGATTCATAATATTAGATATCATCATAATATTAAGCAAAGAAAGAATGTGTTATTTCCTAACACATTAAGAGGGCACCCCCATTTCACTGGTAAAGGGAATATCAAAATTTAAATTACCATACAATTATATTTCTGGATTTTTTCCTTTAATGTAGTACTGGCATCAAACTCAGGGCCTCACACATGCTGGACAATCACACAACTGCTGAATTACACCCTCAATTATATTCATTCTTTTAAAAAATAACTTTAAGTATGTATAAATTGCTTAGGTCTTTCAACAAACTTCAGCTCCTAAGGGGAAAAATTTTTTCTTTTCCTCTTTGGAGTTTCTCAGAATTTTACTTATTTCTTGAAGTTGATAGTTTCATAGAAATGGCCATAATTTAAAAAGAACATATTTGCAATTGTAAGGAAACCAACATACTCCAGCCCTTCTTCAGGCCCTATTTTTGCCCTTCAGATAAACTGAGTAAACTTGGATTGGACAGGCAACCTAGAGATCAGTCAGAAATGAAGCAAAAATAACTGGGGCTAGAAACTATATCCATACTAGAAGCCAAAAGGACCAAAGAAAACTTCAGAGTAAGATTTAAAATTTTATTAAGAAACAATAAAAAATCTGAGGGCCCAGTCAGTAACTAAGGCTAAGGTTGTTAAGCCCACTTAGGAAGTAACCATGGAATCTTCTTAACAATATAACTCACCAGACTTTTTAAAGAAAAAAAAAAAAGTCTGTAACTGTTCAATTTTATGAAATACCAAAACTGCCCCAGCCTCCCAAGTAGCTGGGATTATAGCCTTGCACTACCATACTTGGGTTGGAATGAAAACAGGCAAAGAAAAAACAAAAACCCACAATTCAGAAAGCAGATTTGATCTACTTCTTAGTTGCCTAAGTGTTCAAGCAACTTCTGAATGATACAACAGAATTTGAGGTAAGAAATGACTGCACTATCAATATATACCCTAGAGTCCCTATCTTAAGGATGAATATGATAATGTTCATAGTATATATTGTATCAACTAACAGATTTTAAAGGACAAGGAGGTAATTAATGACAAAAAAAGCCACTTCATTACTGCTAAAATTATAATGATGGCAACAAGTTTTGAGATACTGTTGCAGTACTAGGGATTGAGTCCAGAGACTAGGGATTGAGTCCAGAGACATTCCATCACTGGGCTCCAGCTCCAGCCCTTTTTTAGTTTTTTGAGACAGGATTTTGCTAAGTTGCTTAGGGCCTCACCACATTGTCCAAGCTGGCCTCAAACTAGCAATCCTCCTGCTTAGCCTCCCCAGTTGCTGGGATTACAGGTGTGTGCCACCATACCCAGTTTAGGCAGTTGAACTTGTCAATGGCTATGACCCTCAGCCTCAAGTCAGTTACTTGGAATTGGCAAACTACAAAAGTTGAGAGGACACAGCCCCCTACAAGGCTGTCTGTTTTAGTCAGCTTTTTCACTGCTATGACTAAAAGGTCCTAACCAGAACAACTGTAGAGGAAAAGTTTATTTGGGGGATCACGGTTTCAGAGGCCTTAGTCCATAGAAGGCTGGCTCTATTCCTCAAGGCTAGAGGTGAGGCTGAATATCATGGTGGGTGAGTGTGGCAGAGGGAAGCAGCTTACATCATGATCGGGAAGCACAGAGAGATAGAAATACATACCCTCAAACCACATCCCAATTCTCACATCCTTCAGTCCCACCCTCAATTTAAATTTTCAGTTAATCCCTATCAGGTGATTAATTCACTGATTGGGTTAAGACTCTCATAACCCAATCATTTCTCTTCTGAAGCTTTTTGCATTGTCTCACGTGAGCTTTTAGGGAACACCACATCTAAATCAAACACTGTCCTCACTTCTGACACAAACTATAAGTTTGCAGGTGATTGCAAAACCACCCTCAGGTTAGAGAGTGGGGCACAATAGGGCATCCCTGTAATCAAAACAGCTCAGGAAGCTAAGGCAAGAGAATGTAAGTTCTAGATCAATCTCAGCAATTTAGCAATTAAGCCTTAAGCAACTCAGCAATTTAGCAACTAAGTCCCTAAAATAAAAAATGAAAAGGGCTGGGGATATGGCCCAGTGGCAAAGCACTCCTGGGTTAAATCTCAAGTACAAAAAATTTTTTTTTCACTAGAAAAACTTAGCAGAATTCAATGAAAGTTATTACTTGCACAGTGTGGTTTATCATAGTGAAAGCACAGGTTAAAATCACCCACAAGAGAAGCAACCATCACACAGGTATAACTGACTAGATCACAGGGGTAGTTGATCTCAGGTGCTAGGTGGACTGACACTGTGTGACCCAAAACTCCCACCCTGAATTGTGAGTTTTATTTATTTTTTGGCATGGCTGGTCCCACCCTCAGATTCTTGGGGGCTGCCCCCCACCCTAAATAAAGATACTCCTCTCAGGTATGATGTAGATTGCCTACCAGAGGCAGAGAGCAAAGGCCAGATCTATCTTTGGCAAGATCAAATTCTTCTTTGCATAGTACTATTCCCTCACCTTTCATCTGCACTGAATGATTACCCCAACTGATGCCTCCTGACATGATGGCAAATTATCACCCCCTCAGCTTTTACTGCTTTCAAAATATTTCCTTTTTCAACTCTGTCTGTATCTGTTTTCCTTTACACCACAGAATTTTAAATATGCTGACATATTTCTTCAGGTATGCTCTAACATGATTGAAAAAGTCATTTTTAACTGTCTTGCATTTCATTCACTGTCTGTATCCAATTGGAACACAACATACTGCTCATTCTTTTTTGTTGTTGTTGTTTGGTACTCCAGGCAACATTTTCATCCTTTTTATAACCTGTAGACTTTTGGTTTTACTACTACCAAATCACACTATCATTTTACAAATATTTTAGACAACTGGTTTGAAACTCCTTTTGACTTTCATTTATATTCTCTAATTCTGTTAGGCAAAATACATCTGTTAGGTAAATGCAATCTCAATAATTCCTTCATTGTGATTTAAATTAATCACCTGTTAACAACTTGGAAATGGTAAAAGTAACTTGTAATATACTGAGTTGGGGCTGCTGGTATATAGCTCCATGGTACAGAGTGAGCTTAGCATGCAGGAGGCCCTGGGTTGAAACCCCAGCACAAAAACCAAAACCAAAACCAAACACTGAATTGACAAATGAATGGAATGTTTTTAAAAGCAGTTTTCATTTTGCCACTTACTCCAATGAAATTCAAGGCCCTAATCCTCATCTCGTTCTCGAGTTGTGGCATCCCTAACTGGGCCATCAGAGAGATGAATACCAGCTAATATCCACTTGTATTTTTCTGCTAGCTTGGGTTTGCCAAAATGAGCTCCAGAACATAGAAAGAGTTGAAATAACATGAAGAACCCTAAAAGGGAGAGATGAAACAAACTTTTTAGATTAGAAAATACTTTAATTGAGGATCTGTTTCAACCCAGAATTGGCGATAATGTAGGGGCTGGTTCTGAGCCTAGCTTTTCAAATAACCAAAATCATCTTTCAAAAGCAATCAATAATGCCAATCTGAGGGGAAAGAAATGTGGCATGTGACAAAATAATACTTAATATGAATATTAACACCTTTAATATTATATATGTAAGTATACGAATATTAAAGATGTTATACAGAAATAAAATCAAATTTAGAACCAGAGAAATCACAGAGATCTTCTGATTAGTCTAATAAACCCAGTGTATAAGCTTAGAAAACGTGGAAATAATCATTGCCATCATACATTAGAATGAAAGGAACAATTTTAACTCTGATGTAAAACAATGGTTTTTAAACATTTTCACTTTTATATCAAATTAGATATTGATTACATATATCATAAGGGTTTTCTATGTTGTAATTCATGCCAAATTTAATATTCTTTTCACTGATTCTTTGTACTGAGAAAGGCTAATTTCATTTTCCCCCTCATTCTTAAGAGTAACAACAGATTTTTGGTAATCTTCAACTTCTTCAGTACCAAGAAGTTCTTCTTTATTTACTTCTGTGTTCTCAGCAGCTTTAATTTGAAGAAGTGTTTCCAGGATATTTTTTTCTGAGGCACTATTTTTCCATATATATTCTTCCATGTCTGCTTCAGTCTTATTTTTTTCCCATTCTTCAGTTTTCTAAAAGGAAAAAAACAAAGAGTTCTCAATTCTGAGATTGTTATCAAAAGACAAAATATTTTTGTTTTGTTTTTTTAAATATTTAAAATTTTTTTTAGTTGTAGATGGACACCTATTTTATTTATTTTTACATGATGCTGAGGATTGAACCCAGGGCCTCTCACATGCTAGGCAAGCCCTAACCCTCTGTTTGTTTTAAGGTAAGAGAAGTTTGCAAAAGGTAGAGAGATCCAGGGGACACTTTGTACACTGATTGACCCCCTCATGAAGCACTGTTGTGACTACCTGGCCCAGCTTTAGGGCTGCATGCTCTATTCTAAGAACACCAGTCAGTCAAGCTGTTACCACTCATTTGCTCTATCTGCCTTGCAAATTTTACTTACAGAGCTATCCTATTTTCCAACAATTACAGAAAACTTTATTGTAGTTTCTATTCCCTTAATACATCAATATTTCACACTTCTGAGGTTAAAAATAATGAAGGTTGAGAGGAAACTGTATCTGATCTTTTTAACAGTCTTGTGGGAATGAAAGGGAAGGGCAATTACAATAAAAATTCAAAGTATATGTGCATGTCCATAAGCAATACATGGTTTTTATCAAAATGACTCTTTGTTTCCATAATGAAAACAAATTTGTTAGTATTTGTTTTTTTCTTAACAAAATTTATTACCATGTATTCTAGGGAATACTGGTAGGTTTTATGATATTATAATTCAAATTTGGGATTTGAATGGGAGATGTAACATTCTGCAAAAAAAACAAGCAATCTAGCTAATAAGTAATATGCCCTGGTTCAAAGAAATGCTGAACAGCCACATTCTTTCCAAATTAACACATACAAATATTCTAAGCTAATGACTATTGTAGAATCATCCCTATTCTGAGTAACAAGTTTAAAAGTAGTAAAATGTTACAAAAAAGGTGTGTAAGCCTGTCAGAAATACTATTCTACTTCAGAAAAATCCTACTGAAAGAACCCAACCTTGAGCAGGCAGAGCTTCAGGTCTCATCAGAACTGTGTTCTAAGACATGGGTACATAGTTTCCACCTATGCCAATCTCTCATCCTCATCCTCTCTATAGAAGCTCGAGAAAAGAGAAAAAAAGAGAAGCCATAAATAGATCACTAGACACCACTTAATCAGTAAACCCCTTTAGATTGCTGAGACCCAAGGAAGAGGTTCCCCCAACACAAACAGACCAGCAAGAAGAAAGCTTCCTTTGAATCCTTCAAGAGAAACTAATAAGATATAGGGTATCTTTTCTGGTCCCCAAATTCTTGTGCCAAAGTCTTAAGCATTCACAATTCCTGAATGTTTGCTTTGCAGTTCTAAATGAAATTTACAGATAGAAATAATTTTCCCAGCTTATGTTCTATAAAGCTCTTATTCCCTTTTTTAATCTGGTAGAAAGACTAGGCTTGACAGGAGGTGGGGTAGAGATAATGTGAAACTACTTCTTATTGTGCCCTTGCCCTAAAACCCTGTGGCAAATAATTTCTAACAAACTCCAAATTTGTACATTAAAAAAAAAAAAAAAAAACTGGCAAAATTATCAGACCTAACCTATTTTTAAAAAATATTTTTTAGTTGTTGATGGACCTTTATTTTATTTATGTGTATGTGGTACTGAGAATCAAACCCAGTGCCTCACACATGCTGGGCAAGCACTGTAACACTGAGCCACAACCCCAGCTTCCAACCTAATTTTTATTGCAATTTTAGGAGAAAGAATAAATGACAGACCCTTAAAAAAATTGAATGCCCTAAATTAAACATCATATACTCATTGAAATGCTTTAGATATTTTAAGAAAACATCATGATTGTTTCATAATTCTAACTTAGGGGTAAAGCATACTTAATTGAGGATACCAACAAATATATTTTACAAAACATTAAGTAAAATTGTTACTCCATCTCATTCCTGACTGGTAGAAGACAAGCAATTAAGAGACTTAATTATTTAAAACATTCTAAGTTCCAAGTTTGAAGACAACTTATGTAACTAAGGGAGACCTTATCTCAAAATAAAAAATAAGAGTGAGGGGTGTAACTCAATGGTAGAGTATCACTAGGTTCAACCCTCAGTACTGAAAAAAAAATTTAAGTTTCATCCATGTTTTATCTGGACTTTCTAAAATGCTTTCAATAGATACTTATTGAAAAAATATCTATTGAAGAAGTGATAAAAGGTAAATCCACTAATAATTTCTAGAATTTCATTTATCTTCGCCTTACATTTGGTATATACATGGTGGTTTACCACAGTATTTCTCAGGTATGCCATATTGATTCCCTCAGCCCTCAGGGAGGCCATGTAAGCCTGGAGTTTCAGAAGTAGTGTCATACATTCTCTTCCCTCATTTACCTAGATAAGAAATTTTCTAAAAAATAAAATAAGTAAATATATATATTTACAAAAAAAATCCACAAAATTCACTCAATAAAAACTGACCTATACATTTGATTCTTTAAAAAAAAAAAAAAAAAAGAAATTTTCTTGCCTTCTTTTCTCTCTTTTTGTGGTGTTGGGGAGTCAAACCCAGGGCTTTGTGCATGCTAGGCAAGTATTCTACCACTGAGCCACATCCCCAGTTCCAGTAGAGGATTTTCTATGTGCATAATGACATGAAAAGGTAAGAAAACCTTGCCTACAGGATAATGTATGCTTACAAGAGAAAAATCACTATGTTCTAAACAGTTACTGGTAGGTAAAATGAACTAACATTCTGTAAAAGGCATGGCTCTCACTAATCTTGTTACCAATATACTGCAGCACTGGGCTTCAGCTGCAAGCTGAACAAAATTCACATTTTCTACATATTCTAGCTTTAGAATTCAAATTGTACAGCTGAATATAAAGTCCAAGATATCAATAGTAATAACCCAACAAACTGAATATTTCCTATCACCAGTATCTCAAATGCTTATATATATTAACTATTTCACATAATTCTTATACAGACCTACTAGGAGATTTTAACATCTCTACAGAAAAGAAAACTAAATATTATAAAAATTAAATAGAGAGCTACAATCTCTTAGAGAGTTTTAGATACCAGGATGTGTTGTATTCTAGGAAGTAACATAGTGCACATACCATATATTTAGCAACTCTTTTAGAAAGTTTCTATAGCAGTACCTACTGATCTAACACATTTACTCTATCTGCAGCAAGATATGCAAATATTCACATTACATGGAATAAATAAAATATATCAATAGCTGGGCACACTGGCATGTACTCATTGTCCCAGCAACTCAAGAGGCTGAGGCAAGAAAAAAATGCCTGTGAGTCCAGAAGTTTGAGGCCAGCCTGGGGCAACATTATATAACCCCATCTTAAAAAAATAAATAACATAAATAGCTTCTTATCCATTCAGATCACATTTTTTTCCCACCAAATGAGACATGAAAAGACTATCCATTTCTAAAGCTTTTTGGGTTTCAGAGTTACAGAGGTTTGCATATCTGTAATGGGGTCAACATCAAATAGGAAGGTGATATAAAACAATATTTAACATGGGCTTCGGTGTTTCTAGGCCTCAATTTAAATCCTAGCTGCATCTCTGATTTCATAGGGCTGTTCTAAGCATTAAAAGAGGTCAAGGATTTCCCTGTACTAGGAGCACCTGCTCACAGTAAACACTATATAAATGTTTGCTGTTAATAACGTAACTTCAAAGAGTAGAGTTCAAACCTAGGTACCTATGCCATGGGTTTGGGAAGGAATACTTAGGGATGATGGCAGGGGGCATTTTTACAAAACTTTTGGAAAATGTCTTCAAAGTGAATGTGACCTGTACCACCATCAAGCAATAAACTCAAACTTTAAAGGTAAATACAAACACAGTTGCCTCAAATGTTTTACCATGTTATCCCTATTCACAAAAATCAAATGATTGATATTTATAAAACTGGATAAAATAAACAGAAATAAGAAGTCTGCTCTTCTCTGTCACAATCTAAAGGTGATACTTTTTTCCCTCTAGTGCTAGGGATTGAACCCAAGGCCTTGTGCATGCTATCTAATGGAAGAGAAATGAGTGGTTTGGGAGGTTTGAGCTATTAGCCAGGGCTTGTGTGATAGATTAGAATTTGAGAAGCCACAAACATAACTGGTTTTAGTTCTGAAGCTATAAATAGGAAACTAGGGCACCAGGGCTTCTAAAAAACAAAGTGTAATGTCCCATAATCTCACAGTATTTAGGAGACAGTCCTGCTAGAGGGAGGAGGTCCTTTTACAAATACTCAACAAATCTCCCTCTCAAGATGCACTAGATTTTGAGGCTGCAAGGGGCAAGCAGTTACCAGACTAAGCACAAAACTTTTGAAGGGTGTAAGTAATGCCTCAGCACTCTTTCAGTGATGTGAACTCAGACTCACCAAGTTCCCAAACAAAAGCCAGGAAGGCTATGCCTGAGGAAAATGAAGAAACCAACAGTGAACTCATCTTACAAGAACTACAACCAGTCCTAACCCAAGTCAATCATGAATGTATTAAATAAAACCCTGACCCTGTCTGCTTAAGAGAAAAACCAGGAATCCCTTCTGTTGGACAATACCAACTGGAGCTTTACGAATCTCTTAAGACACAATGGTGGGAGAACGGGCTCAGCGGCCCGCCGGCGGGGTAGACAGACCACCCCAATTGCAGGAGGGGCCCAGCTGCAGCCTGTGCCTGCATGGTAGGCAGACCGTGCTACCCGGAGAAGGGGCCCAGGGGCCCGCCTGCGCAGTAGACAGACCACCCCAGCTTGAGGAGGTGCCCAGCCTCCGGCCTGCGCGGTGGGCGGACCGCGCAACCCCGAGAAGGGGCCCAGCGGCCCGCGGCGTGGTAGACAGACCACCCCAATTGGAGGAGAGACCCAGCTGCAGCCTGTGCCTGCGTGGTAGGCAGACCGTGGGACCCGGAGAAGGGGCTCAGCGCCTGCCTGCGCAGTAGACAGACCACCCCAATTGGAGGAGGGGCCCAGCCGCCACCTGCACCTGCGCGG